TGCATCAGTATCTCTTTTCTAAGTTTGACCATCTCTTTGTCCTTTTAATTTTAGTTCTTAAACTCATTAATCAATCCTTTCATTTATGTGATAGGCCTGTATTTAAAATGAACATTTATTATAAATTTAAGGTATCTTATATTATTAGATATGTTATTATAAAAACATGTTTTAGTTAAGGAGTTATTGATACTTCAAGTGCAAAATGATAATATAAAGCCTTGATAAAAATGCACTTTGAAGTACTAATCACAAATCAAAGATTGGAAATTCTCATTGCTTGTCTTTTTTATCCCTTTATACCATAATTTCTTATAACTTAACTGATTAACTGACTGGCTAACTAATTTTATCATATTTGATTCTCTTGAACCAATTTTAATAACTACATTTTGCCACTACTCTAAGGACTACAACTAATTCTTGCTAAGCTTGTTCCTAGTTTCTTTTTCTTGCTAACCAGCCAAGACTATTATTCCAATCCTTTGTATAATCTTGTATGGACTATAAAACCTAGGACTCAACTTGGTACTCTTACTTAATACCACCCTAGTTTGCTTGTAGGGTTGAAGTTTGAGGTATACCATATTATCTACCCTACATTCTTTTTTTGTTCTTCCTTTATCTGCAATATATTACACTCATTATTATAGTCTCTTGTGTGGTTAATTATCTATTTGGCAAAGGTTATCCATATAAAGCTTGGAAAGTACTCATTTTAATGACAAAATAAAAGATGGAATTGTATCACTATTAAGCCACAGACAACCATTGATGCCATTTCTTTGGATAGTGTATGGTTATGTATCTCAAATAGGTCTCTATACATTATGAACTCTCTTGATTTGGCCATTAGTTTGTAAATGGTATGACAAACTCCTTAGCAACTTTAGCCCTAACATTTTAAAAAACTCCCTTCAGTATAAGCTAGTGAAAACCTTGTCCTTATATGTGATAATGGTTGTTGCCAATCCATGAAATTTGTAGAAATGATCCATGGATATCTGAGTTACATTTTAGGATGTAAATAAGTGTGGTAGTTTAATAAAATGTCCTTACTTGCTGAATTTGTAAACTATCACTGTGATTGTATCATTTCTCCATGATTTTGATAGTCCTTCTATGAAATCTATACCTTTATCTTTCCATGTTATTTTTTATATTGACAAAGGTTAAAGTAATCCAAGATATGTTATTTTTTTCATTTGGCCTACTTTCTAGTATCATATTCTTTCACAAACCTTATAAGTGTGTGTTTTCATTAAAGACCAATAAAACATTAACTTAAGCCTCTTGTAAGAATTATATATTCTTGCATGATCCTTTATGTATGAACCATATGCAACACTCGATCTTGTTGAAGATTAATAGTTTATCCTAAGTGATTATTTAATGACTATATTGATCTTGTTGTCAGATATGAGTTCTAATGAATCAAAAGTGAATTAATAAATAAATAAACTCAAAGTTAGATATTGAGTATGCATGCTCAAATTATCATATGTATGATATTTGTGATAAAGACATATACTCTAAGGGAAAGGAGATGATACCATATCATGCATAAGATTTCAATTTGATATTGTGTAAAAACCTAAAGATTACTAGTAATCTTTACTTGTGCCATTGAGACTCTGGTCTATTTCTCAAGGCTTAGAGTTTAATATTCCCTATCTTATTATGTTTTTTAAGATTTATAAATAATTCAATTCAGAAGAACATTACTATAAAAACAAGTTAAGTAAGAGTTAAGAAAATTTAAAAAAAAACAAAGGAAGATTATTTTGGTATTATTACATCGACTTATATTCATTGTCTGACAATTATGTTTGTCTATATGATAAGATATAATTATGAATACAAGAAATATAATGAATGCTGTAATGAGAGATAAAAGAGGTGATAAATAATCAAGCGTATTGCATACTACATCTACTCTATGTCTCATGATTTAAGAAGTTGTATACATTACTATAATTTTTAAATATCTCAACAGAGTATTCTATTGGTATTTATACTCTTAGTCTACCGGCACAAATTTTACTAGGCACAAATTTTACTAACGGATTCACGAATAAAAGTACTTTGTCGAAGAAACTATCATCAATAATTTATGGTTTGTTAATAATAAAATTACTGATAGAAAATCATGTAAAAAAATTACTCATTTAATTTTGATGATATTTTCATAAATAAATATGAGATATCACCAAATATAATTCTAATTTTCTGGAACATATATTCCTAACAAATATATATTAGTAACTGAGGTCTCGAATTGTGTCCAGTCATACAACCCATTTGTTAAGTATGATATTTACAGAATTAACGAGATAGTTAACCTCATCCCGTGTGAGTGGGAGATTAAGAAAAAATTGGATTTGGGTCTCTTTTGATGGTCAGCCTAATACATATTAATATTAATTATATTAATAAATAATGGAAAATGATAAGGGTTCAAATGATGCTCTGTACATCCTAACTCTTCAGATATATAAAAAATGTTCAGGTACATCCTCATTTGTTAGTTATAAAAATGGCAACTCAACACTCTTGTAAATATATTTGTTAATATTCATAGACAAGTAAGAAAAAGAAGGAAAGTATATGAAAGAAAAGAAAGCAGAAAAGAAAAGGGGAGAAGGAATCTCAAAGAAAACTCCATGTCAATTCTCAAAAGAACTGTTTTTGCAAATAAGATATGCTTAGGATAGTTTTCAGTTAAGAAACTTCTTGACATGTAAGCTATTTGACATCACATGGGAAAAGTTATGGATTGGAATACTGGCTCTTAGCTTTACTTTGACAGTGGTGGCCTTTTCTCAACCCTAACAACCAGCAATTGTTCCTAATTGTTACCTTTAGTTCTTTACTGGGACGAGAGGATTTGAGATCTTTCTTTTTATTCAAGTGGCAAGCCTTTTACTTGCAGTTGTAGTTAAAGTGTCCCATGTTATAATTTACTGTTCCTAATGTACGTACGCAGTTGCCAATTTTCCATTAACTTATCATCACGCCTGCCGGAGGTGAGATATGCCGTGATAAGGGCAAGAACAGTGTGCTTGCTCAGTTTCCATGAAGGATGGATCCTTTCTATTAGTAGTAGTTTATGGGAGACAAAAGAAAGAAGTCATGGATGGGCCAAATGGTTATTTTTCCTCTTCTGCTTGTTTTATTGCTTTTAAGAGTAAGCTTACTGATCAGAGATAATGAAAGGAATGGAATGTGAAACGTGTTCGAACTTGACACATGCACGTGGACAAAATACCTACCATGTTCCCAGCGACTCTATTCAACAACTTGACTGCCCGGAGTTTCATGAATAGCCAGTAAGCCACCGGAATCACCTTACGCCAGCTGACGTCCCTTTCTTTCTCTTCGTTTCCAGACAACATGGGGCAGAAACACCGTCTTGCCCAAGAATATTGGCTCCTATCGTAAGTTACATTTTTTGTATCGATATCTCATTGTAAATCTTAATTTGTTGCAATGTCTTCAACGATTGATTTTAAATTATAACTTGTTTATTTCTCAAATTAACAATTGAATTGTACGATAAAGCCATTAAAAGTTGGAAATATGATATTATGATCCAATCATCCAAAAAGTTAAAGAGTCATGGAAGAATTTGGATTAGAGGCTAATGGTTCTCTCTAATTAATTAATTAATTGAGTAGGGTTTTTTTCCCCCTCTCCTTGCAATAATAATACAAGGGAAACAATTGTCATTAGAGCAATAAATGGTGGCCAGTTAGTCGGTCACATAAAAAGCCATACATTCCTCAAACTTTCCACACTCAAGTGGAAGTCCAGGCACAAAATCCTGCAATGGAAGAGAATGGCAGCACTCTCCACCCCCACGTCTCCCCAACTCACAGATATCACAAGCTCCATCCTCTCGCAAACCGTCCACCACCGCAGCCGCCTCTCGTCCCTCCTCTGCTCTTCCTCTCTTTTCTCCCTCACCTTACACCATCTCCATTCCCTCTCCCTCATTCAGAAGACCTTACTCATTTCCAAACACCTCCTCTCATCCCTTCACTACCTCACTTGTCACTTCCACCCAACAACCCTTATTCCACCACACCCCAACACCACCGTCAAACACCGTGACCTCGACGCTGCATTGCTTCTTATTTTCCTTTGTGATGTACACCAAGAAAACCCCGAAATACTTAAAGCACCAATCCCTGAATGGCGTGAGGGTTTGAGTAAACATTACTCTGAAACTGTGCTAAGGCAAACAAGCATTGTGGTGCATTATGGTGGTGTCCTTTTACCGTATGTTGAGATGATAATAAGGTGTTGACGGTTCGTTGGTATGATGGCTGGTTGTACAGTGAGGGATGGGAGGGAGCTGGCAGCAGCTCCTGCAGCAGTGGTGGCGCTTCCGTCAGTAGAGGTGAGAGGAGGTGGTGGGGAGTGTGTGATATGTAGGGAAGAGATGAGTGAAGGTAGAGATGTGTGTGAATTGCCATGTGAACACTTGTTTCATTGGATGTGCATTTTGCCATGGCTAAAGAAGACGAACACATGCCCAAGTTGCAGGTTCCAGCTTCCAACTGAAGATGTGTTCGGAGAGATCGAACGGCTGTGGAGTGTTATGATCAAGATTGGAAATGGGGCCCTCAGTGAGGAATATTGCACATGATCGATGTTGATAATGGCATGTATTGTAGACGTGGAAGAATCGCAAGGACTTATTGGCCTCTAGTGAATTTGGACACTTGTGCATGAACAGGCCGTAGAGGATCACTTGTTGATGATAAGACCCCTGTGGTTTAGGTTTGGAGCATGTTTGTAGAACTGTCGATTTACATATAGTATTGGGGTTGCTTGGAAAAGTGTAGATTAAAACACATATATATATATATAGAATCAATAGTTGCACAATTTGTTCTAGCTTTCGCAATCACATTAATTTTGTGGGTTAATTGTATTTGTTTTTTGTATAAAGCTTAATTTAAAGTGCAGATTACAATATTTAGACTCATGCAGAATTATGAGTCAGATTAAAGAAAAAAAGAAGGTCATAATATAGAGTAACGATCGAGAAATTATGGACAACATTATAAAACTGTAGTTTGTATAAGACTTGTTTCTTCATGAAGCCAGGCATAACCTTGGCTAGTGGAATTCTACAAAGTGATGATGGACCTACCACTACTCTCTAGCTCTCATTTTAACTTATGACGATGCTTCACAATTCATTACTCATTGATTCAAGCTTATGATTTCTGGATCAAGTCACAAACTCGTCTGTTAAATAAAGTGAACAAATCTCTTGTAATTAATATCTCAATTGTGAAAAGTAATCATCCTGTTTTTTCTTTTTCATTCTCAAGGCTTTGCTTTCTCAGTGCAAAGGGAGAGGCGAGCAGTGATCATAATTCATTCGTGACCATGGAGACTCTAAGTTGGGCTTTATGCAATTGATGTACCCTAGAGAGCAGTATGATGGCCGATGAAGAGAGGCTTTCATCTGATTTCAAAGGCAATTCTATGAAAGCCCAACCACCCAAGAAATCTGAACAACATCAAGTTCAATTTTGGAATGGGTGGGCAAACAAGAACCAAAAAAGAAAAAAGGTAAGTTCTTTTTCTAATTGCCCCACTTCGGCTCAATTCATGCCAAGGTTCTACAATCTGAAGATAATAGCATTCTTTTGAATAAGCGAAAAGACATTAATATTAATATTTACAAATTATAAACTAATAGATTATATGAAAATCACGCTAGTTATTAATTGTTCGTGGTTCATCATGATTTTTCTATGATTTTATGGGCATTTTAGGTCTTTTAAGTTTCATTTCAGTCTCCACATTTCTACTGAGTTTTATTTTGATCCTTACCTTCATGGAAAGATAAAGAATGTTGTCTATATCTTGCTAGGGTTTTACTAATCTAGTTTTATCATAAACAGTTTTACTAATCTAGTTTTATCATGAACGTTCCACATATGACAACATAATATACTTCTTTAAGATAATTAGAGATACAAAAAGGAATCAAGAATCTCATTTGCAAGCTAAGTTTATTAATAGCCATAATGAGCTTTATTTTATTTATTTTTTTGAAAAAGAGACCTAACATAAAAAAATAGATGTTATGTTAAGCTCAACTTAACAAGAATGAGAATAATAGAGAGAGAGAGAGAACAAGATTTGAGGAAGAATAAAAGAGAAGAGAAAAAAAAAAAAAGAAGAAGAAGAAGAAGAGAAGAATGAGAATAATCTTTTGTATATTCTTGTTCCCCAACACGTTTTCATACACCAATTTATATACAATGGGTTTCCCTCAAATTACAACTAATTTAACCCCTTTATTCAACTACTAACTACTAACTACTAACTACTAACTAACTTAGCAGCTGACTACCTCCTAACTAATAGCCATGCTCTTCACGTTTTTCACATTCAACACATGTTGCAATTCTTTGCTTGAAGGCTAGCAATGCTGTTCTCTACTGGAAGCAATACTGGAGGCTTGCACTCTTTATTAGTAAGCTAGTAACTTTAATTCCATGGTAACTTGAATCATAACAACACCTACCCTTGAAAAGATTCTTGACCTCAAGAATCCATAACAAAATTTGGAAATTGTGCGCTCAATTCCTCCAAGTCTTCCTATGTTGCCTCTTCATGAATATATGATATCATTTAACCAATCTCATAATAATAACCATATTTTCTTTCTTTGGTTTTTAAGAATTTATCCCTTTCATCCTTCTTTCTCTCAATTAAATGAATCTCTTTAACACTATATTTATGTCCAGGTACAAATGTATCACCACATTTAAAGCATAATCCAAGTTCCTTTCTTTGTTTATAAAGTGTGTTTTTAGATCATTTTGAACTATATTGCTCATCAACTTTATGTTGGTTGAAAGGTTTATAGGGTGTAATACCTGTTAGTCTTTAATTGTTAAATGAATAATTACTTCTTGCAACTACAACAATTGATTCTTCTTACCATTTTGCCTTATCAAAGGCTTGTATTAAGCTAGTATTACTGATTTTAACTCCTCAAACCTCTTCATATATTCATCAACATTACCTTCTTGTGTTAGATTGTTAAGCTTCTCTACTATATCAGCCCTATCACCAAACCTGCTGCATATAGCCCTTGAGAATTCTTCCCAATCCATCGAACATTCTACACCACACATATAACCTTCAAACCATTGCTTTAGCTTCCATGTAAAGAAAGGCTGGTTTCACCCATTATTATGAAAGAGCTGAATTAAGCTTAAAAAACTTCCTGCACTTCCTCAACCATCCCCTAGGATTTTCACCCTAGAATGATGTAAGATTCATTCTTGGAAGAGATGTATTATTATACACAACTCTTTGATGTTCCTGACTACTGTTCAATCTCCCTGAATGTGACTCCTTCCTCTTGGTAGCATTTCTTCTTGATTAGCAAAGAAATATTTGGAATTGTTTTGATAAGGTTTCGATCTACAAGCTAATCTAATCATCCCTCTTGTTTTGCTTCCCAAACTGTTCTTGGCATTTACTTGGCTGATCAACCAAAGATTCCTGAAATTCCTGTTGAAATTCTGCATTTGTTTCTCAAATTTCTTGTAGTGTTTTTTTATATTTTTTAATTTGTAATTTTCTCCCATCTTGATTGGATCTTAGAGCTCTGATATCAATTGTTAAGCTATCTTCACAAGAATTAAAAGAACAGAGAAAGAGAGAGAGTAAAATTTGAGGAAGAATAAAAGAGAAGAGACAATACGGAAGTAAGAGTATAGAATGAGAATTATCTTTTGTATTTTCTTGTTTCCCAACACGTTTCCACACACCAGTTTATATACAATGGTTTTCCCTTCAATTACAATTGTTTAAACCCCTTTATTCAACTATTAAATACTAATTAACTCAACAACTAACTACCTCCTAACTAATAGCTATGCTCTTCATGTTTTCCATATTCGGCACATACTCCAATTCTTTGCTTGAAAGCTAGCAATTCTGTTCTATAATGGATGCAATAACGGAGGTTTGCACTCTTTGTTTGAAAGCTAGCAACCTTCAATTTTGAATCTCGTATTTTAATGTATCTTACGGCAATAAATGGATTTGTAAACATTTAGATGAAAAATAAATGGTTACAAAATCTTTAATTAACTAGAATTTTGTTTGCACTCTTTGCACTTTTTTTATCTCATGAATTTATACAACGCGAGACAGACTCTTTTTTTGTTTTTTTCAAAGTAACAAAATGATGCTAAGATGAGACAAGCATTTAAACAAAAAAAATAAAAGAGAAAAAAAAACATGAGATTTGGGTTACAGAATGAGGTTTAATAAGATTGAATAATTGAAATAATAGGAATAAAAAATAAAACAATGATTTTTTTTTATATTGTTCTTTTCATTATTATTTTTTGTTTTATTCAATTTCAGAGCCTGACATATTTAAAACAAATATCATTTGATATGATTTAACTAAAATGAATGGAAAGCTAACATGAATTAGCATAAGAATTAAAGATTGTACTGAATAATTTATTCAGTACAATCTTTAAGCAATATTGAGAGTAATTTGATTAATAATTTAGGACAATCTGATACATTTATCCAAAATCTCAAATTAATTTTATGAATAAAATGATCAATTTAAATTTTGATTTATAATATTATTGGAAACCTTTGATAAAGGTATTTTCTTTAATAAAAGTCCAAATGCATATAAGTCAAATAATAAAAAATTAATATGAATTTTGGCACATTAATATTAGGAGCAAAATTTACATGGAAAAAGTAATAGAGCTATAAAATTTTGATGGTTAAACAAATCAACTTTCCACTTTAAATTTAGGAATGAAATGCGTCATAGTATAATTTTGGAGTTTATACATCTCCTTTCCTTTAATATCTATTATATCAATTTTAAGATTGAAATTGTAGTGCATAAAATTAAAGGGTTTAGAAAAATCAACTTCTATCTTTACATTTAGAAAACTAATGCTCTAATTTTTTAAAATTCTAATGATAAAAAATATTTTCAATGATATGCACAATATAAACTTTATGAAGTGAAATATTTGGGAGAAACAAATTTAAGTAGTGTTTTTTTCTTTAGAGTTTTGTGTTGCATTTGTCATTCACTCTTGAAATAACTTGAATTGGTTAGTGTTCCACAAAGAAAAAAAAAATCCTTGTTATATAATGATTTTTATATTATTTTCTTTCCTCGCTTCTAGGTTTATAGTCTTTATGATGTAAATAGAAGCTTATGAAACAATATTAACACAAAAAACACAATATTTAATAAGCAAAAATAGTTGTAGATATAAATTTTAAATTTTAAATTTTATTCTTTGAAAAATAAATATATGGTGGCCACCTAAAGGTTTACAAGACCTTTAATCCCTAAGATAACTCTTCTAGTAACATATCTATAAATTTTATTAGCACATCGTGTACTTCCTCGAGACTATCATCAACATCATCGTCTTTCCTAATTGTTCTACTAATAGATTATAGGATATACACTATTTACTCACCCTTTATCTCTTTCATAAATTGTAATGAGGACAATGAACTCCTTTTTTTTTCAATTTTTATCTTGACCTTCTTTTTTATAGGTGCCAACACAATACGTTTCCCTTTAATGCTTAGGGTACACATAGTTTATCTACCATCATGTATCATGCTTCTATCAAACTATCATGGCCTCTTTAATAGAACATGACATGCATCTATAAACACCACATTACACCAAGCACTATGAAAATGATTATGTCTTATAGAAAATAAAATAAGATATCATTTATCAACAATTACCTTAATATCTTTATTCA